ACTATGACTTCCCACATGGAAACTTGTCAAATCTGAACAAGACTCTAGATTGATCAACCAAAGATGTGGGAATTCCATTTTATTTTTTGCTCCTTCTCCCATTATCACTTGTTCCATTGTTCCACAATTTTTTACCATTAACTGCCAGAGTTGCACGAGGCCCAAGGCCATTGAATGCGTTAATAGGTACCTGAACTTGCTACAATTACAAATTTCCAGCACCCGAAGTTGTCTAAAATCCAAGAGTTCTTGAGGATTCTTGATATGCCATGTTTCTAACAACTTGGGAAAACTTGACAGCATCAAAAGTTGTAACCCAGCAAATCCAACCTATGCAAGTGCCAACAAAAAAAAAAAGGTAGTTATATATATAAAAATATAAATAAATCAAATAATTTTATATAAAAAGAATGAATGGCTTCAAAAATATCTAAAAATCAATTCATACCTCCTCCATATACATTCTTTGTATGGTGGTATTAAGGTCACTTTCCCAACGCCACTTCTCCTCTCTTTCAATTAATTCTACTCTCTGCAGTAGTGGTGTGCTTAGGTCACCCTCATTGAAGATCATCAATTTGGGAGACTGAATCACAATTAACTCTTTCAAAGATGGAAATTTGAAGGTGAAATTCCTTGAACCAAACCTTTCTAATCTTGGCAAGCATTCAAGTTTCAAAAATCTTAATTTAGTAAAAGTGATCATGATTAAATCTTGGGTTCCATTTCCTTCATTTCCAACTATTTTAGTCAGCATGTAGCACCATGACACAATCAATCTTTCTAACCGCACTAGACTTTGGGCTATTGAGATGGAAACCAAGTTTACCATTATTTCACACCTGCTTATATTCAAAGTTACGAGATTCTGGAAAAAGGCAGGTGATGTTGACAAGGTAATCAAATTGTCACACCTAGAAACTTGAAGAGTTTCAAGATTTTGAAGAACAATTGATGAGTCACAGCTCCATATATGCCTGAGATATGGAAGGTGCTTTAGATTTAATGTTTTAATCCTTGAGAGTGTCTCAATTTCAATATGTTTCTCTTGTTCTTCAATTTCTCCTTTTGAAGGGAACAGTCCTTTAAAATTACAAAACTCCACGACAAGCTCTTCTAGGTGGCAAAATCTTTGTAGTAATCTGATGGGTAAAACATCTGATTCATTATCAAGATAGTCATGAATTTTAAGAACTTTGATATTGAAAAAGAGGTTTTCTTTAAATTGGTGTTCACATATCACTGCAATTCATGTCTTGTTAGTAACAATTCTTCCAACTGAGGGATGACCTGAAAAGGAATCCAATGCAATAAAACTTGTTTGTAAGTTGTATACTTTTCCTTAATGAGATCTTAATTTTGTTTATGAAAAGGAGAAAATTATTAAAAAATATTATGCATTATTTCACTTGGCAACCAAATGCACTTTTATTACTTATTGAATAAAAACAACCCTTTTCTTTGCTGAAAAAAATAAAATAAAATAAAAACTACTCTATATTGCATTTTGGGTGGCAAGCGTTAGTTGTATCTCATATTCACAAAACAAATACTCTAAAATCTAATAACAGAGGGATCCTTAAACATTAATGGCAAAATAAAAGAAATAATTCAAATTATCACATGCATTTGTCACACAAATAATATTTCATCAAGAAAAGCATTCAGGTCTTACTAAACAAGTAATTAATACCGCAATTCAATATTATTTCCATGTATAGTAGATTATTAAAAATTACTCTGATTCCATTATTTATATATTTATATATATATTTGAAGCAAGGAATTCTTTTATTATTTATTTTGGTAAGAAGCTTTGTACCTTCTCCATGGAGAAAAGTGGTAGTCGTATGGGGAAATCTAGTTGCCAACCGCCATCTGTTCTCTTTACTTGATTGAAGAGGGAAAAGTAGAACTTTTTTAATTTTGGCCACGCTGTCGTGTGCTTCCCTGGATGGAAACATTGGAGTCTTGGTAGCCACTCAAGCTTAAGACTTGACACTTGAGGAAATTCAAAGTCAACAACTGCTTCATTTCCCTGTTCTCCCATTGTAACAATTTCCTCCACCCCGCACCTAAATAAATGTAACTTTTGAAGTTGCGAAAGGCTTTTGCCTATTGAAGCTGGAAACAAAATTTTGAGTCTTTCACAAAATCCTATATCAACTGATTCCAGGTTGTGGAAAGTGAGTATCCCTTGGGGATCCTTATTCCACACATACTTCAATCTTGGTAGAACACCAATATTCAATTCTCTCAACTTGGTGTCTATTATAGCATGTGTTAGGTTGACATTGAACTCGGCAATTCCAAATACCACTTCTAGCGAGCCACAAAAATATATAATTAACTTCTCTAGAGATTTCCATATTCTTCCCAGCATATCAGCAGATGGAAAAATAGTGGATAACTTCTCACAATTTGTAACCGTTAATGATTTTAGTTTGCCAAAGGAATCTGCATGGAATTGGTTGTGCCATATGACATCCAAGTTTTTCAAGTGGGTGAGAGTTAGACTTTCCAAGTTGGGAAAAGCAACCTACATAATGGATGCATCATGCCACATTTAGATTAGTTCCTTAAATTAATGCGAAAACAAAATGCAAGTGAAATGAGTAAAATTTACCTGTTCATTGAAGAATGGTTGTTTGTCGGCAATGACATTTGCGCTTGCAAAATATTTAACAATGAATCCTTCCAACTCTGGGCAGTTCAATACTTGCAGCTGCTTCAAGGATGGGAATTCAACAATACAATCCCCTGAGTAGAATCCAACAATGTTTTGAAGGTCTTTTAGCAATAGGAAGTTCAATTGAGGAAAAATTAAATTCTCTTTTTCTTCTACATTCTCTGTGACAATAACCTTTCTCATCCTCTTGCATTCCCTTATTTCAACTTGACCAAGCATCACTAGACCTCTAGCTATAGATGATGAGAATAAGTACTCCAAATTATCACAACCTTGAATGATCAATTTCTTTAGTTTCCTCACACATAAATATGTTATTGAAGTGTGCCATTTAATGTTAACATTCATCCAGTGTAATTGCAGCTCCTCTAGGTTTGGTAACACAACCTGCACGACATAGAATTCATTTTGTAGAAAAAGCTTATCATTTTGTTGATGGATGAGAAAAAGGATGGTCAATCATGTTAAAAATGGTAGAGTTGGAGGAGTTGATCAATGTATTCTGCGACAGTAGTTGGAACTATTATTGGTAGGATCTTAGCTCCATATATTTCCATGGAGTATAATCCAGTTATATGATTAGTCAATTTTGGGGTGGTAGGCAGATCTAAGAGGGAAGTTTGGTCTTTACTGTACTGTTATAACTTGGATTGTGTGGATATGCAAGAATGAAAGGTTATTTAAAGGGAAGGACAAGTTTGTCAATATGGCTCTCAAATTGACCGGGAGGAGATCATTTATGTGAACAAAAGGCAAGGTGGGTGGTCGTTTATCCAGATCGGTGTCTAAATTTTGTTCTTTGTGCTTTGGTACTGACCATAAGAAGAGGTTAGAAGATGAACAAAAGCAGAACTTTCATAGAAGGCCAATGCAACTTTACTTAAAAACAACATTAAAAACTCCAAATTTAAAGCCCTCATTAGAAAAAGATCATTCTTTTTGTGAAGAATTTCTTCTTAATCCAAAGAAACAATGTAACAACAATCCCAAAGCAAAAACATGAGAAATGATAGAGACATTTAGAATGAAGGATGGCAATAGACTTTGTTCAGGATAGTTAAACACTGTCCAATTAACTAATTTTCTTAAATTGAGTAATTTTACTTTTACTCTCAAGTGATGAATTTTTAGGCACAATAAGTAAAGAGATTTACCTGTTCTACATTTTAGTTAATAATTAATCATTTTTGTATTTAATTAATGTACTAGTAATAATAGGTAATTCAGATTGGTTATTACTCCTAATTAATAGAATACAGTTCAAACAATCCTATTGTGTATATATAATTTATTTTATATAATTAAGAAAACTAAATATATACCATTTCAATTGATTAAGAAAATTAATTATGATATCATTTATGAAGAA